TTGGCTCTTGATATTTTTCTCCCCTGCTTAACACAAGCAAGGGGTTATGGAAGGTGTTAATCTGCCCTTCAATGAGTGATGCCCCACAGTACAAAACCACTTTGCAATATCTTAAAAAGTAGAAGAAACAATATGTGGGGATAATTCTTTTCATCAAGACATAAAAATTCCTAGAGAATATTGAATTCTTTGTTCCTTCATAAAATCTTTTTACTTAAAAAATCATCTTTTATATTTACTTAGTCTCAAAGTATCTCTTTATAATTCATGTTAATTACAAAAGGAACTACAGTAATTATAAGGAAGAGAAAAACACTTTAACCAAATTTTAAATTAATATCACTAATAAAGGGCCAACAGACTTCATGTGCTTCTGATGTCATACCCTGAAGAAAACATATTACTTATACTGTATGCCAGCCAAAAATGGATAAGCTCATTCTAGTAACGGGGAAAAAGCAAACAAATACAAATTAAGGGACATTCTATAAGATTGCTAGTTTGTATTCTTCAGAAATATCAATCTCATGCAAGACGAAGACTGAGAAACTAAGTTTAAAGTGACTGAAGAGACTGACAACCAAATGCAAAACATAATCCTAAATTGGGTTTGGTACTGGAGAAACAATAGTCACAATAAGAGACATTATGTGGACTACTGACAAAATTGGAATATAAATTATAGATTAGATGAAATTATTGTATCAATTTAAATTTCTTAATTTGATAACTGAACTATGGTTATGTAAGAGAAGATTATTGTTCTTAAGAAAGACACACTGAAGCATTAAGGCATAAAGGGCTATGATATATGCAACCTCTTAGTGGTTTAATGTATCAACATATGGGTAAAGGGAGAGAATGATAAGGCAAATGTGGCAAAATGTTCAAAATTGGTGAATTTGGGAAAGATCATATGGGAATTCTTTGTACTATAATGTTTCTGAAAGTTTGAAATTATTTTAAAATAAAAATTTAAAAACTCACCCTTCCAGATTAAACAGACATTAATGTGTGAAAACTTTCACCACAAAAATTACTTTCTAAAAAGCAAGTTTGACAAGATGATATGTACAAATGCTTTGAACAGTGACAAGTTAAAGAGCTTGTATCAGAATGTGGCTCAATATACAGCTTTCTTCATCAAAAAATGTCTGCCTACAAAAAACAAGTCAGTTATACTAAACTGTATTTAGTGGCATTGTGATAAAAACCTGGTAACAGTTTATGTACCAGCACTACACTTTGAGTAACACTGGTCTAAAATATTGTCTTTTTGCAATCAGTGACGCAATAACTAACACTACTTTAAAAATTATGCATATGCATTTAGAAGAAAATATACCAAGTTATAACCAGTTAAATCTGGGTAGCATAATTGAAGGTGATTTTTATTTTCTTCTTGTATTTTCTAATATTTCTGCAATGAACATGGATTACTTTTGTAATAAGCAAAAGTAATCTTTGAAAAAAGAATAAGTGAAAAAGAATTTAATAGTAAGCAATTAGATTTCTTAGAATTTGCATCCTATGTCAAAACACAACATTTTGTTTTAATGTTTACATGCTACCAAGTTTTTCTAAAAGGATCTTACTTACAGCTGATCTTGAAGTTCCACAATTATATATTCTAATTGTTCCTTCTCCAATTTATGGGCCAGATCAGAATCTTCAATCCTTTGAAGTAGTATTTTATTTTGGGAAACAGATTCAGATAGCTGGTTCTCTCGAAGTCTTAAGAGTTCTTCAAGATAACCCTGGAAATACAGTATCACCAAGATATAGGAATTGCAAATTTCTAATATATATCTTTAAGATAAATGCTGAGAGCTTAAATGTTATTACCAGCCACATTATAATGAAACAATCTCAAAGTATTATTGATGAATTAGTGAAAAAACTGTTTTAATTGAATATAAAAATTTAACACACATTCTCCATTATTTAAAGCTCTTCTCTAAAGTCTCAGAAAATGTATTTGTAATTTAAGGCAAAATTTAGTTAAAACATTGTAATTTCTAAGCATCACAACAGTAATAAAATGCATGACTCCTACCTTCAAAATACAGACTTAATTACAGAATGATCAATTAGAAAGCTGCCTCTATGTCATTATTTTTCAAAAACATATTGATATTAACATTTTAGCATTAACATATTAGTGCAAGGCAGTATAATGTTTTGGTTAGGCCTGCAGGGTTAGAGACTGCCTACTGTCATATTCCAATTTTTTTTTTTTTTTTTGAGACAGTCTCACTGTGTTGCCCGGGCTAGAG